AATAATTGGTTTATTCATAAACAATGGGTATTTTGCAATGGAAATGAATTTGGTGTGTAAAGGAGAAGTAAATGGACTGTAAAATGCTGTAAAACAATACTGGTATATTGTAACCTTTTGTAATATACATTTTAAACAATAATTTTACAATAAATAATCGATTTATTAACAAATAATTGCATTTCTTTAGTTTTCCTGATTTTCAGTCCTTTCCTTGAATTCTAGGGTGTCCTGGAAGGTCCATCTGTAATTCATACGCAAAGAACATTAATTTTTCTAATTGTTAATAAAAATTATTAACAATTTCCGACAAATTTATCGAATGCAATGGTTAAATCAAAGGAAAATTAATATATTGAGCTGTTTTATCAAGTCAAAGCGTACGATAATATTGTTTAAAGCTTACAATAATCATAAACTATCATCTGAATTATTATTTAACAAGAAACACTACTTATTCTATAATTAAAGTACTTAAAAATGAAGCAGAAACTATATTTCACTACCTACATTACTAGTAACGTCAAAACAATAAAATATTTATTATAAATACAAACTTTAAACTGCTTACTACATGCAATTATGCTCTAATTTACAATAACTAATATTGAAAGCGAAAAATTCATCGAATTTCTACTTTAAAAATCAACTAACCTGTTATACTTCGTTCCTGATGGTGGGGTCGATCCTTCCGCTTTGAAGGCTGACGACAGACTGAGCAGCGTAATCCCTCTGGTCTGTTTTAAAACTCCCAAAAGTAAACTGTTCCAATGATAAATTGCATAATTTCCAATGTTCCTCCCGTTGAAATACCATTCGATTTCAAGTATGGAGCCTGTGACAATGTTTTCCAGAGCCGATAACAATTATGTGGAGTAATTGTTGCTAAGGCATTCCTTACTGGACCGTAAAGTAGGGAAAATTCCAATGAATTTTGTCTTTACTTTAAGATCCTTTCCTTGACTCCTGTGGTGGCCTAAAAGTTCCATCTGTAATTCACACAAAAAGAACATTAGTATTTCAATTGGCAATAAAAGTTATAAACAATTTATAACTAATCTACTGTATGCAATAGTTAATTCAATGGGAAATTAATAAATTAAGCTACTTTATTAAGAGTTAAAGCATGCAGCAAATTGAATTCACACCTCCAATATAATAAAATACCATCTAAATTGTTATTTAACAAAAAACACTAACTAGACTATAGTTAAAGGACTTGAAAATAAAGCAGAAACTTTATTTTAACATCTATATTATTAGAAATGTTAAAGCAATCAAGAATTGATTATAAGTATCAATTAAATATAATAGGGATGACGAGGATAGCATTAGAGAAATGAGTTAGACAAGGAAAGGAATAGGGTTAGACAAGGACAGAAGTAGTGCCACGTGTTAGACAAGGAAAGGAATAGCGGTGGACAAGGATAGCAATAGTCGCATGTGTTAGACAAGGAAAGGAATAGCAGTAGACAAGGATAGTAACACTGCCATGTGTTAGACAAAGAGAGGAATATGATTAGACAAGGATAGAAAAAAGTGGGGGGCGAGACTAACGCCATCTCGCGTTTGGGGTTCTGATCTACGATTTCTTAATAGGAACACAGAATATAAACAGAGGTATTAGACAAGGAAAGCACTAGTGTGCGACAAGGACAGAGAGAGAACGTGTCCTATTGGTCCGCGGACTGTAATGGCCGCTTCTCAGACGCTAAATCAAGTCGGTCAGGGAAAAATCATTAATAATTCATTAATTAGGATGATTTTGTGAACTTTTAGGATTGAAGAATATAGTATGGACCTTTAGCTACTTTCACATATAATTTTTAATGCGCTAGACCCTTTCAATAAGTAGTTATTAATAATTTTAGTACGTGATGTCGGAGCGACACCGCATACCGTCAAGTATTTTTACGGTTTTTCAATATTTTCATAGCTTTCTACTAAATTCTCATACAACTAACTATATGCGTTTGAAAGGTAACTCCTTTAGCTACATTCACATATAACTTTTGTTAACATATTCGTTCTAGTTTAAGAATTACTAAACATTATAGAGGAGCGTCTCCTATTTGTCGTTCTCGTACAAGTCGGTCAGGGAAAAATCATTAATAATTCATTAATTAGGATGATTTTGTGAACTTTTAGGATTGAAGAATATAGTATGGACCTTTAGCTACTTTCACATATAATTTTTAATGCACTAGACCCTTTCAATAAGTAGTTATTAATAATTTTAGTACGTGATGTCGGAGCGACACCGCATACCGTCAAGTATTTTTACGGTTTTTCAATATTTTCATAGCTTCCTACTAAATTCTCATACAACTAACTATATGCGTTTGAAAGGTAACTCCTTTAGCTACATTCACATATAACTTTTGTTAACATATTCGTTCTAGTTTAAGAATTACTAAACATTATAGAGGAGCGTCTCCTATTTGTCGTTCTCGTATATAGTCAACTGTTGTAAAGAATTGCTAATATCTAATAAACCACACTACTTACGGCTACTAAACTAATTGAAGAATATAGATAAAAGTCCATTCTAAATTCTTCATGCCTTAAAGTGTATAAATTATCAGGCATTTTTATTGAAATAACGAAAATGTGTTACGATTGAATGCGACGGATATAAACGGATGCAATACGTTTCCGGTTTTTCAATAATTTCATAGCTTTCTAGTATATTCTTATACAACTAATTACATGCGTTTGAAAGGCAACTCTTTTAGCTACATTCACGTATAATTTTTGTTAACATAATCGTTCTAGTTTACGAGCTATTAAACATTACAGAGGAGCGTCTCCTATTTTTCGTACTGGTGTATAGTCAACTGTTGTAAAGAATTGCTAATATCTAATAAACCATACTACTTACGGCTACTAAACTAATTGGGGAATATAGATAAAAGTCCATTCTATATTCTTCATGCCTTAAAGTGCATAATTTATCACGCATTTTTATTGAAAGAACGAAAATGTGTTACGATTGAATGCGACGGATATAAACGGATGCAATACGTTTCCGGTTTTTCAATAATTTCATAGCTTTCTAGTATATTCTTATACAACTAATTACATGCGTTTGAAAGGCAACTCCTTTAGCTACATTCACGTATAATTTTTGTTAACATATTCGTTCTAGTTTAAGATCTATTAAACATTACAAAGGAGCGTCTCCTATTTTTCGTACTTTTATATAGTCAACTGTTATAAAGAATTGCTAATATCTAATAAACCATACTACTTACGGCTACCAAACTAATTGCAGAATATAGATAAAAGTCCATTCTACATTCTACGTACTTCAAAGTGTATAATTAGTTACACATTTCTATTGAAATAATGAAAATGTATTGCGCTTGAATGAGACGAGTGTAATACACACCTAAAGAATATTAAATAACTATCAAACCACAAGGGATATGTTAACAAAAATTATATGCCAATGTAGCTAACGGAGTTGCCTTCCAAGCGGATATAGTCAGTTACATGAGAATTTAGTGAAAAGCTATGCAATTATTGAAAAACCGGAAACGTATTGCATCCGTTTACATCCGTCGCATACAATCGTAACACATTTTCGTTATTTCAATAAAAATGCGTGATAAATTATGCACTTTATGGCATGAAGAATATAGAATGGACTTTTCTCTATATTCTGCAATTAGTTTGGTAGCCGTAAGTAGTGTGGTTTTTTAGATATTAGCAATTGTTTATAACAGTTGACTATATACGAGTACGACGAATAGGAGACGCTCCCCTATAATGTTTAATAGCTCTTAAACTAGAACGAATATGTTAACAAAAATTATATGTGAATGCAGCTGAAGGAGTTACCTTTCAAACGCATGTAGTTAGTTGTATGAGAATTTAGTAGAAAGCTATGAAATTATTGAAAAACCGTAAAGATACTTGACGGTATGCGGTATCGCTCCGACATTACGTACTAAAATTATTAATAACTACTTATTGAAAGGGTCTATTGAATTAAAATCGATAGGAGAAACTAGCTAAAGGAATAACCTTTCGAACGTATATATGAAAGTGCATAAATTACTTGTGGAAAGTTACAAAATTAATGAAAAACGAGAAGAATGTGCGGTATCCCGTACTGAATTTACCGACAACGCGTCCTAAAGTTGTTAATAACTAATTATTGAAAGGGTCTATTGTATTAAAAACTGTATGAGAAAGTAGCTAACGGTTCACACTACATTCTTCAATCATAAAAGTTCACAAAATCATCCTAATTAATGAGTTATTAATGATTTTTCCCTGACCGACTTGATTTAGCGTCTGAGAAGCGGCCATTACAGCCTGCGGACCAATAGGAAACGTTCTCTCTCTGTCCTTGTCGCACACTAGTACTTTCCTTGTCTAATACCTCTGTTTACATTCTGTTATCCTATTAACGAGTCGTTAGTTCGCGGAGCCAAACACGAGATGGCATTAATTTTACTTTTCAAATTTGCTGTCCTTGTCTATCTATATTGCTATCCTTATCTAACTCGTTACTTTAGCGCTATCCTTGTCTGCTCCTATTCGTTTCCTTGTCTAACTCATTTCTTTATTGCTATCCTCATCTATCCGTATTCCTTTCTTTGTCTTACTCATTTCTGTATTTGTTAAATACCTCGACGAGTTATCTTTGATAGCAGGCACGACTAAACATATTGAATTGCGTAGGTAGAATAGTTCACGATCTTTTGACAGTAGTAGAATATGCGCGTTAATTTATTTAAAATTTGTTTATTTAAAGAAAGACAGTAATAGATTATATTGATAATGTTATAATGGAGATTTGTATAAAATTACATATGTTACTCCTTTTCCCAGTACGCAAATCATTTATTGTTTACAGTAATTGTGTAATTGAGGCGAGATTTATGATTCACCCAACATGCATGCGTGCAATCTCATAATACCAAATTTCGCAACGATATTCCCTAGGTTTTCAGTAACAAAAGTGATTCGACATATGCTTTTGCACTTGTTCTCGGCAATTAGTCAATTACATATCTAAACATTGGCGAACTTCGTACCAAGTGTCATAATCAATATGTTGTAAAAATTGTAGAAGTAATTTTTTTGCTGGAAATTTATTTGCTTGAAATATAAACAAAAGAAAATAGTTTCGTGGTCTGTATACTTGACATTCTTGAGCAGTCTTCATCTTTCCCATGAGGTGTTTAGTGATGCAGGACTGGGTCTCAGAATATTGAGAGTATTGTTCTTTTGTGGTTTCCAAATTACACATACATACTGGTTGAACATCTTTTATTAGAACAACATGCCGAAGAATAAGGGTTTGTAAAAAATTGTGTCATTTTGTATTTTTCTTTCGCTTTAAAAATTGTGTAAGCATCTGTGCGAGGGGTCATGCAATTTCTAATGTGCAATGTGGTTAGTTTGTTCTAACCTGTTAATGTCAACTTCGTTCTTGAAATTGTTGAAATAGTGTCTTAAAAGTTGGACATTTTTCTTCGAAATATGTTCGTCAAGAATTTGTTAAAATAATAATTTTCAATCTATTTCTCTCTAGGAAAGGGAGGTAAAAACAGGAGAAGGGGTAAAAACGAAAATGAAACGGAAAAAAGGGAATTGGTTTTCAAAGAAGATGGACAAGGTAAAATCGTATACTGCAATTATATGTCATGGTGTCCTGTGTTTCATTCTTTGTTCTTAAAGTTTTGTTTTGTTGAGCAAATACAATAGCATATGTTAATAATAGCAAATAAGTAGCAATTTAAATAGGTAGAGTAATTTTTAGAGTTCAAAAATTGTTTAATGCGTATAATTAAAAATATACGTAATTAAATTTTTTTTTTCTTTTGCATTATCTGTAGAATATGCACAAGTTACAAAAATGCTTGGTAATGGAAGGTTAGAAGCTATGTGCTTTGATGGTGTGAAACGATTGTGTCACATACGCGGAAAATTACGAAAAAAAGTATGGATTAATCAAGGAGACATAATATTAATTGGTTTGCGAGATTATCAGGATGCAAAAGCAGATGTCATATTAAAATACACATCAGATGAAGCACGTAACTTGAAAACGTATGGTGAATTCCCAGAAACTGGTAAGTGATGGTGTCTCATTTATTTGAAGAAACCATAGAAAAGTCTTAAACAGTAATTGGAGTTTTTAAATTGAGTTTATGGACCATTTTGTTTGAAAATCATACTTTATTTTTATTTCAAATATTTTTACAGTACGTATCAACGATACTGTCACCTTTGTCGAAGATGGTTTCGATGAAGATATTGAATTTGGTGATGAAATTAGTGATGATGATGAAGATGATGTTGACAATGTGAGTATTCATAATTTCTGTGTGATAAAATATTTTATTGCTTAGAAGTATGAAAACTCTTAATATCCTTGTTACTTTTGTACCACATTCAATTATTTGATAGTTTTAATTCTATTTGTAAGTGAAGTAATATTTTTAATTTTACAGATCTGATGACCTTCAGTATAAGAATACTTAAAAGGTATGGTACAAGAGTGCATGAAGACACCTATTTGTTTTACAAAATAATACCATTTGTTGCGCAATTAAGATATTAAAATTTTTTTTAAATAAGTAGTCAATTTTCTGTATCTATAAATAAATTTCCACTTGTCTGTAATATTGTGTTCCAGTCTAAAATTGTTACATCCTGAGTGTTCAGGATTTGTAAATGTTAGAACTATGGTATTCACTATATAACCTGTCTTTTATTTTCATACGACTTTAAATTAAAAATAATGTTTCACTGGAAATAAATATCATACCATATATCATTTTCTTAAATCAGTCTAGAAATAACGTGTATTAAACTTTGTTTTAAAATAACATTTTAATTGTTTTATTTAGATGAAACAGTCATGCATTCATGTATAACATCAGTATATTGTCCTTGTAGCAATTTTCTTTTGTACATTTCTTCTTTAATACAAAATAAAGTGACATATGTACAGAGTCACTGCAATTTTAAACAGGGGAAGTAGTGAGCACCATACATCACAATTATTTCTCTGTTTATCAGTGTTCCATTCGATCATTTGTGATACAGGATGTCCTAATAATCACACCCAGGAAAATGGTGATTTCTTATAAAAGAGAAAAGATGTAAAATAAGGTTTTCGTAAAGAAAATTTGTTTTTACGTATTTTCTCTTAAACAAAGTCTCATATATAAAAACTTTTTATTCATTTCGACTTACCTTTTCATAAGAAATCATTTTCTTGTTTATACTACGATTATTGCAACACCCTGTATAAAACATATACAATTGTTCAGAAAAGTTGTTTGTATTTTAAAAGCAGTTCAATGTAATTTTAAGAACAAAATTATTAATTGTGAATCATAAAATCAGTATGTAACTATTAATGTTTGAGTATACGAAAGTTCAGAATAGTTGAATCGCTTCTATGAAAATTATATATATTTTAACGAAGTAAATTATTTGTAAAACAATATTTGTTACGTAACGATTATTCATAAATATTATTTTTTTCTTCTGTACTTTGTATTAAAAAATGTTAAGGATATCCATGTTAACCTCTGTAAAAAAACATTGATTCCATGAATGTGTATTAAAAGAAATTAATGTCAACTGTTAACAACGAATAAAAATATGTAAAATACTAAGTTAAGTTCATTTATTTAAGCATGCTAATCTTTGTTACTTCCTTTTACCTGTTAGACTATTAAAATTACAAGTGAATATCATTACAGAACATTTCATATCTTAATCAAGTCAAATAATTATAATAATTATAAAAAATATTGTTAAATATAATAATTGAAAATAAATGTATATACTTTGTATACTTGAAAATCAATAAAATTTTAATAATAAATGAAACAATCGTTATTTTTGTCTGTAAATTATTTAACCAAGACTTTAATTACTTTTTAATATTGACAAACCTAAAAACCTTTTGCTAAATTGAAGGAAAATTATCAGAATATTAATCATAAGGATTAGAGGTTTATAATTTCTTATTTTTGATGTTCCATTGTTTTTTGTTACAAGTACATCAAGGATTGTGATGCAACAATTTATTTATTACATTGTCGTTGATAACTCTATCACACAATAGTATATGGTAAAATCATAGCTTTTTTCCATTTCTGTTACTTTTTGATATCGTACGCCATACAATGGCTTTATAATTTTAATACAACATTATAAGTTACGGAGGGGTTAAGCATAGAGGAAAATTAGAGTGGTCGCATGGCGTATACACGTTATCCACAAGAACGAAACCATGAAATGTACAAAATTACGTTCAGAACTAGAAGCGCACTGATGCGATACTGAATGTTAAATATGTTTTGATTCGAACGTATAGGTGTGAAACGACATTAAATCTTTACATGCTGTACTTACGTCGATAACCATTTTTATGCGAAATCGATTACTAAAATTAAGATGCAGACATAAAATCTCGGAACGGATCTAGTTTAGATTACAAATGTTTGTAACAGTGCCAGCGTTTACCTTGGGAATTTAATTTTAAGTCAAATTCTATAACAGTTCTACATATTTCGTTACTTACAAAGTTTCACAAAAATATTATTAGTAAAAATTAGAATTAAGCAAACGAATAAATTTTTCAGTTATTCAAAGCGTTTCGTTTGTATTATATAAGTTTTTATGTTAGGGGATGAAGTAGGTTTATTCTACTATACTCTCGTACTAAGAATATAGTAGGTGATAAGCTTAGGCAATTACAAAATGTTCTTTTTTTTTTTTGTTGCGTAACATTACT